AGTAATTTTATATGACAGCTTTTTATATTTGAAAATGAAACATTCTGTTCTATGTTCCAGACAGTTCAAACTGAAGGTTACAGGTAAGTAATGGATAGTAAATTAAATTTCAGAAGAGTCGGGTGTAATTTTTAGGACATTGTATCATTTTTTGATAATCTTGCTTTTTCCTCCAAAAATGTGGCTTTATTGAATTATTATTATGGAATAAGTGAATTATGATATCAAGTCAGATTTTATATATAGCTCTTATTGTTGAACTATTCTATACACTATTTAACACATAACTACTGATGTACAGAAGTTATCCCATCGAAACAGATTACTTAAGAGAGCATTTGGGTTCACTTCAACAGAATGCTTGTTGTTCAGATTGCCAGTTTTCCTGGGTCTGGAGTGTCAAAAGATCCAGAGGACTGTTCTCTACCGATATTTCTTCTGTGTTGACTTCAGACGACAGCACGACTCGTGTTCTTTTTAGAGAAACAAGGTAAAAGTTTGTGGAGAAAAAGGGTACTTTCTCATAAGCCATGTGTCGTCTCAAGAGTTTCAACTTTCTAGTTTCTAAATCACGTTAAAAGATATTTTTAAAACTTCGCAACTTGTGAAAAAAGTATAAATCCATCCTAGGGCGATGCGGTGGCTCTGTGGCTAAGGATCTACGCCTGTGGCTGGAAGGTTGCTGGTTCGTATCCCACACCTGACAGAGGAATCCTACTCCGTTGGGCCCCTGAGCAAGGCCCTTAACCCCAGCTGCTCCAGGGGCGCTGTATAAATCGCCGACCCTGCGCTCTGCTCCCTTCTCTCCCTGTCTGTGTGTCTCATGGAGAGCAAGCTGGGGTATGTGAAAAGACAAATTTCATACGAGAAATTGTATATGGCTAATAAAATGATCTCATTTCAGAGCGTTAAGGTCCAAAAAAGATCACTTTGTTCCCTGTGGTTACCCACATTTCAAATGTTCCTCTGCATTTCTGCATTTTTGTGGCTGGAATATTAGTGAAGGAGCCTCATGACGGGAAAATCATAGGTCTTATCCCAAGGCCCGTGTGGAGTTTTGTTTATTCTCTTAACACTAACACAAATGCTCTTAGATTGCTCCCAGCACCTTACATGGCTGAGTGTGTTGTGAATTAAGGCAGACCAAGTTTCACATTAGTCTTTTTTCCCCCAATAGCAGCACTTTCTATCAGATCTGTCCTAGTAAGATTACCCTCCATCTACATAATTTGACATCTGTTACTTTGCATTTGGCAGAGGCTTCCCCGACAAACGTTATTAAAATCCCTGCCTCCTGCCTGAGCTACTCTTCCTTTATGATTCAACAGTTCAAAGCCGAGCTGAAACCGAGCTGATCGATAGCTCACATTTCAGATGCAAGGTTTGCAGATTTCCTGAAAAGGTAGGCCAAAAATTCTTCTGAAAACAGGTAGCAGAATAAAGGCAGTAAACTCAGTGTCTGTGTTGTAGTCCAGTTACTCCTTTTTTTTTAAAAAAAAAAGGTTTTACATAATTATTTACCATGACAATGCCACATCAAAACTGTATTCAGATATAGATCATTACAATTCAATTCAGTGGTGCATATCTTAACATACTGCACACTTTACACACTTAAACTACAGAGCCACAGCCACTAAACTAAACCAGCACAATATCTTGCCAAGTCTGTCTGGTCTTCTCATAAACAGTGCTGTAGGTGCTAAGGAGCCATCTTGATTTCTTGCACTTTTTTCTCCTGTATTCTGATGACTTTCTGCAAACACAGAAGCACATGGCTTGGAGGCGTAGAGGGCTGTTCTCACCAGTTACAGTGAAGAGTGAGATGCCACCAGGCAGACAGACACAACATTATGTTATGTCATGTTAGTGTTGTTGCTACATTCCTGTATTTTTTTTTCTTTCATATACAAATCTGACTTTCACCCTGGTTATGCTGTGTCTTTCCTGTAAACAGTTTACATGGAAGGAGAAATACTTTCATACATACACACGTCAATATGTGCATGTAATACATAATCAATTATTTTTAAAAAATGGACAAAATAATCCATATTGTGATGTGGGGCACATAACATACTCTATATAATCACTTCTCCCTAATACGTTAAACGGACCATCCATTGGCTTGTTAGACATGTGAGCTTCAAATGAACTCCTTGTTAAATGCTTTAAAGTGTAATCCTTTCTATTGTAATTCTTATGCTAGTTGTTAATAGGGTGTACATTGAAATCATCTGCAGCTTAGAGAGTACAGATCTTCTCTTTCATTTGCACTTTTAGGACATCGTACATATCATATCAGACAGTGTCCCTCCATTTTGCACCAACAGGTAACTGCGTGCTGTGCTCAATGTCAGAGTGTAGAACAGTAACACGTTGCAAACGAGTCGGGAAGAAATAAAATATCGTTTGTTCGTAAACTTTTGGGCTGTTTTGTGTAAGGACCTTGGCTTGTGTCAAGCAGTCACAGGGCATCCAGCATTCAGAATTTAATGATTCATGTATCTTTCCATTTTCTTACGACTCTATCCGATATAGGGTCATGGGGGAGCCACAGCCTATCCCAGCAAGCCACAGGCGCAAGGCAGGGTACACGCTGGATGGGAGGCCAGTCCATCGCCCACACAGACAACACAATGCACACACTCCCACCTGGGCCAGTTATCCCAGAAGCCAACTAGTGTCTCGTTATGTCTTTGGCCTGTGGGGGGTAACCCATGCAAACTACCCACAAATAGCACTGCAATTGAAATAAAGGCCACAGTACTTTGAAAAGGCGATGGTAATCACTGCACCACCATGGCACCCAATTTAATGGATAATGTAGAATTTTAATTAGTATATGTATGTGTTGTAGCTCTTTCATGCTCTGTGGTTGCCATTATGCTTCAGGTGTTTAATTGCAGGAACACAAGGTGTAATGTAAGTGAAGCTACAGGCCTAAGGATATTTATAGCCAATCGGCTGTTGTACCTGAAAAACTAATAAGTCCTGTATTACTACAAACTCACTGTCACCCACATCAGGAATAAAAAGGCCTCTCAGTGTAAATTTAAAAAATCTGACTTGATATTCATCTTCAGGGAAAGTATATCCAAGCCACACAAATTCAAGACAGAACCACTCTTATGACTTCTATTTAAGTAGGACTATCTACACTATAATATTGAAGTAGAACAGAATGATAGCAATGTGAACAGTAGCACAAGGAGGATGAAATTATTAATGCAGACCCACAAGGGCTGAATGTCCCACTAGAATGGGGATCCAACACATTAGTGCTAGACCAGGACCGCACATACTAAGAGTTCTTTATTAGGAAAGGTGAAAATATTAAAGCAGAAATAATGGTTGGAAAAAAGAACGTGTACAATGGCGGATAACAATGTATACAGTACTTTAGCATTAGCAACCTGTCTGAAGGTGGAGAAATGAGCTTTGTTCAGGACTTTCCCGAGTTCTTATTAAACACGCAAAAGTTCAGAGTACCGTTTATGACTTTTTCCGTAGCAGGCTGAGCTCTCTTTCTCCATGTTCTAGTTGAGTTGCACATTTCTCTTTTCCTGTGCTCATGTGAAAGTGGCAGTGAGCGCTGAAAACAATTTGTCGCCCCCCCCCCCATATAAGAAAAAGGTCAGCAGAGGTATTTCGCCAAGCAAGGCCTGACAGGAAACGTAGTCACCAAATGAGAGGAAGAGGAAGTGAAAATGCAGGGGCAAAGAGGTCTAGAAATTAGCTAGTAGGGAACTGGATCCGAAATGTCAGTTTCCAAAATTGCAGGAGTCGGAATGTCCTGAAAAAACAACTTCATGGCCATAGAAATTATATTGGCTCCTGGTAACTGCTGTCCTCAGCACATGTTATAAGTATTGTTCGTCAAAGGAGGAGAAAGTGATTCCACTGCCTTTCAAAGGGAACCATCATCTCCGGGCTAGAGACCCTGGATATAGATGCAATGTGACTTTCAGAGGGTGTTGTTTCTTTGTCAAGTGTCATTGTTATTTAATTGGCAATAACACACAGGGACAAAGTGGAATCTACACTAAAAACCTTGCTGATGACTCCACACTTCCTGTAGTCAGACTGGTTCATTGTGCTGCACAAAGATGAAAACAAACCCCACAACCCGCCACCATCTTCAGTGCCCACCAGCAAACCACCTTCCTAAGGCTATAAGCCACATTCTTTCTGTGAGATCATCACCCATTCATTCAACTATAGTCATTTCGCAATGGGTTCTATGCTGGGTTTATTGAACATCTGTTCATCCTTGCTATGATTTGCAGTGATTTCATTTTTGATACATGATACAAGTCCTGCATTTATTACTGCAAACCTACAGTGGTCTGTCTGGTCTCCAATGAAAAAAAAAAGTGCAACTATAATAAGAAATTAAAGCTCAGTGTAATACAGAAAAGCACTGCTGAAGCTGGAAATGTATTCATTATGGTTTTTTATGTATCTGCAATCAGTTGCATTCCTGTGATACACCGTGAAATGTATGTTAAAATATGAGTTTATAGTTAACAGTTAATCAATTCAGTCCATCAATACTTAGTTACTCGTAACTAAGTGATTGCAGAATCTCATCCAAATGTTGTTTTTTTTAAAAGCCAGGGCAACAGCTTCTTCAACATGGTTGAGTAGTGACTGCAGACTCTCAGAAACCTTTTTGGGCAGAAACGTGTCTCCTGTTCTCAGTTTACATACATCAGTTTCTATTTGTTTTCTCTGTTTTTTGGGGGGGGTTAAACACCTTTACGTGTAATGTCCTAAATTGAAAACATAATGCAATTAACCTGTGCATTGTATTAGCAACACACTGGCGCCTCTAGCAGAAGGAGATCAGTTTACATGAGCTCATTTTGGGATTCAGTTGTAAGTTCGCAGGAATGTAAACAAGCGTTTTAGCTTTGCTAATGTCCGCTCCCCAAATGTAGGAGAGTTAGCCGGACATCAATGGAGTGTCTGGCACACTTTTAGGAATTCGCACTTACCCTGTCCTCTGGAGAGATGCTTTTTTTCCCCCTTGGCAGCGCTTACCTTCCCTCGGCAGCCAAGGTGTAGATTTCTTCCGTCATATTATCCCAGCATTCCTTTTGGCTCTGCGCTTAACTGGGAGCACGGCGATCTTTCCATGTTCATCGCTGCCTGCTTGGGATAGTTGTCCAAAGCTCCTGTTTGCAATGGAAAAAAAATAATCTTGAGCCCCCAAGTACGCTGCTGGAGTTGGGCTGGGAATCGTTCTTTGGGAGAATTTTGAGAACAGGAAGTAGGATACAGAGGTCTGTGGGAGAAATACTGAGTCTATATTCTTTATCGGATGGTATTATTTAAAAAGATTGTGTTTGTCAAAAGCCTGACCATAAAATTTAGACTGCTTTTAAACCTTTCTCAATTGCGGCACTTGAGGTTTGGTCATTTAAAAAAAAAACAAATCTCAGATTTAAAAAAAAAGCATTATGGAATTTGTAATTTGAATAAACCACTGCAATACATTTTGCCTCAAGTTCGCCTCTGGCATGAGCTGGCGCATAACTCTAGCATGAACTTAACTCATTATTTCTCTGCTTTTTATATTGAACCTTATCAGTTTCAAATACATTTTTTTTTCCTTTATGGAAGTATGAAAAAAGTTCTAGGACAGGTCACAAATTTCCGTTCTCACTAATATTCGCCAGGTCTTGCTCTATTTGCAGCAATTCTAAAAAAAAAAAAATCAGACATTCATATATGTTTTACACATGACAAAACAAAGCATGGAAATACAGCACCCAGTGGTTGCCACGGCAACTCTTGAGCACCTTTTTAACATTACTGACAGGAAGCGATACTCAACATTAGTGCGCTAATTGCTAAATGAGATTGATCTGCTTCTGCTTCATGTTCAGTCCACGTAGCGCTACATCACCCCTTCGTTTCGGTGTTGGGTAGTGTTCAAGAGGAAGCAACAACAGTTGCAGAAGGAATGGTCGCTGCGCTTTCCTTTAATGTTTCTAGATAGATAGATAAGACTTTATTGACCCCGAAGGGAAATTGATGTGTTACAGCAGTCCAGCCCAAGACAAGCAAGCAAGAATTCTGTTAATGTATCACTATCAGATTAACGCATTTGTATCAGTGCCTCAAACATGTAAATTCAGTAAATGTAAATATTTAAACTAACGTTATGCATCTTTTTTTTACCAAAGATAAGGGCTGTTAGTATAAATGTGTTTTTTTTTTACTATTTGTGATCATCTTTGCTTTTCTTCACATATGCATGCTCAAAGCTTGCGAGTCGTCACGAACTTTATCACGACTTTACTAACTAGTGACCGCGTTTTTAACTTTGTTTAAGAAGCGACAAATCAACCAAACACAGAGACAGGAATATAGGATCAGAATGCTCAGAGAATGGTTGTGTTTCAGATGTCCCTCACTGTATTTGAGTCAAAGGCGATACATTCTCTGGAACACATACTTAAACTGGATAAAGAGAACAGAAAAGCATACTCTGGAACATTTACTTTTACTGATATACATAATTTTACACCATGACCCCACAGAACATACAGTAGGAGACACATACCTCTGAGCACTTGATGCCCCGTGAAACCTCATTTGTAAGTCCCTTACAAATATGAAAAGTCCCAGACAAGGCCTTTTAAATAAACTCAAGAGCGAAAGAGCAGAAAACCAAACAAAATGAGTAATCCAGATTCAGGTGATTGATGAAGCCAGCACTGGAAACATCAGAACTGACTTCCTGCGTAACACCGCTGCCTCCAAAGATTAATGGGAGAAGAAAATGTCATCCTCCTTGCCAAGGCAATTAAAGATAATTGAGAAGCCTAAACTTAAAAAATAAATCCCCAAGGTTGGATTAATTATTCTCCTTTGACTGAGACATTTTTGGTTTCAATCATTTCTAGGACTTAATCTCCAAACCTATTTTCCCTTTGTGTTTCTTCTGCGTTGATTAGATGCCGAAGATGGGAGGTTGTAGAAGTTGTTATAAAACAAATTATTGGTATGTGAATATTTTATTTATCCGTACATCCGTATCCTAACCACTTCATCCAATAGAAGGCTGCAAGGGAGCTGGAACATATCCCAGCAAGCCAAGTGGTTAGGACGCGTATCCTAACCACTTCATCCAATAGAAGGCTGCAAGGGAGCTGGAACATATCCCAGCAAGCCACTGGTGTAAGGCAGGGTACAACCTAGACAGGACGCCAGTCAATTGCAGGCCCTACACAGAGACACAATTCTCATGAACTCACACTAGGGCCAATTCTCCCAGAAGCCAGAAGTGTTACTCGTTACTCGTATGGGGCGGTGCAATGGCTCTGTGGCTAAGGATCTGCGCCTTTGGCTGGAAGGTTGCCAGTTCGTATCCCACAGCCAGCAGAGGAATCCTACTCCATTGGGCCCCTTAGCAAAGGCCCTTAACCCTATCTACCCCAGGGGCGCCATATAAAATGGCTGACCCTGCGCTCTGACCCCAAGCTTCTCCTCCTGTCTGTGTGTCTCATGGAGAGCAGGCTGGGGTCTGTGAAAAAAGGCAAACTCCTAATACAAGAAATTGGATATGACCAATAAAGTGATCTTAGTTTTAGATTGTGGCAGGAAACCACAGGACCTGCGAATATGCAGATACGCTAGTTTGTAACATACAACAAAAAATATGATAGTGTTGGATCTTTTGAATTTTCCAAAACATCTCTTATGAAACTTTATTTTTAAATTTCAGGTGAGTAAACAGACCCCATGTTCTGTTGGTTAAAAGGAATTTCTGGAATTTGTATTATTAACTGTGCTGTATCTACAAGATTGGAGACTCTGCTAAATGTATATAATACAACTTTATATGGGAATAACATTTTTTTTATATCAACCTAGTATGCCAATTTTTTTCTAAAAGTATAGAATCACAAAATATTTTTGGTTAGACCCACCCAATTTGCAGTAGGCTGTGTATTTTTCTCGGCTTGAACCACACAGCCACAAACAAGAGTATTAATTTACATGCTGATTGTCAACATGTGTTTAGGCAATCGTATGTGTTAACACTGCATGAATTGTGTATTTATATTACAAACATTAAGAATTTTACTTTTGTACATTGCAACAGATGATGGCAATTATAAGCCAAGGTTCAGCTCCCATAACAGACAGGTTGTAGTGTTTCTCATTAAAAAAAAATGCATTCCCTGTATTATGAGGAACTTCCTTGATCTATATCACCTCACACAGAGTGCAAATAAACTGTCTCTCTTTTTCACATCACTGTTTTGTTCAGGCCTTTCACAAACCACAGTTGCATGTACACAGAGGCATCAGGATGTTTGAACAAAATTAATTTTTGTATTCCTTCTGGAAAGGCACGTAGGCCTGGATTTATGACAGCAATAAAGTATTAATAATGATGGTAGAAGATTCAAGGCAGATTTATGGATGTGCAACCTGTGAGTAAGATTGGGGTGAGGCAAGGCTCGAAGATACTGTGAACTAAGTGTTGCTACTACACCTGTGTTTGATATATGACCGGCTAATTGAAAAAAAAAAATGTATTATCAATTTTAAGTAAACTGGGGAAGCCAGTTTTTATACATGTTTGTCAGTGTTCTTTCTAAATAAAAAACACAGACAGACAGGTAGAAAAGTGAGATCCCTGCTGATTGAACAATTATTTGTACCAGTATAACAAGCCAGGGGTGGCAGAAAACAATATACTGTAACATAACGTTAGACCTGGGAACATTACTGGGAAACAGCTTTCCTAATGCATTGGCTTATCAAAATACTATTCTCGAGCCTGCATGCACTCGATTCTTACATCATAAGGCCACACTTTCATCTTCCAGGCATCATACGCAGAACATTTTCTGAAAAATGAGCGAAAGGAAATGATTTCACTGCGGGATTACCAAGGCAAAGAAGAATTACTGGAAAATCCTGCATAGATGCCATGCAATATTTTATGTAACCTTATACTCAACACTGCAATAAAAAAAATGTCAATGATGGAAGGGCATGTGCTCTAACTAAGATGCAAAGTAGTTTGCTTATTCTGATGACAAAAGAAAAAAAAACGGATTTAAGGCATTTTATGGAGCTCACTCCATCAAGTTCTACGTTTTCAGTTAATGAATAACTATAGAAAGTATTGCAAGCCTTGGAGACCACAATTCCTCAGTCTGGAAAATGTGCTCGTCTAATTTCAGTATGTTATTTCTTTCAAATAAACTGCCAAGAGCCTCTGTCTTGAGTAGTAGTAATGGTAGTTTCCTTTTGTATTAAAGCCTGAAAAACTGAATATCATTATTTTCAGTTCAATTTTTTTGGATGAGCGCTTTTGATTTAAGTCTACAATTACTCCCACAGTGAATTACTATTCCTTTGGAAGGCAGCTCCTGTAAGATCTGTGGTACTATTGACCCTATTCTCTTTTATACATTTTATACAGTTTTCTACAGAGCCAGTGATTCACTGAGGTCACCCCTCCTGTCTGTCTAGATAGTAGTCTGCGTCTCTTCAGACTTTTTATAATATAACCCCCTCTCCTGGTTCAGTACAGCTGACAATTTCTGTGTCACTTTGACCTACCTTGTAAAAATCAAACCCCTAATCCCGCTTGAAGCATCCAATAAACCACTAATGGATGTAGTCGAACCCGGAGACAACCCCCCCAATCCCCCAACCCATCTGCTCAATCGTCTGATCTTCTTCTCTCACCACACACACACACACTCCCTAGTGAACTGCTATGCAAACTCATTCCTGCACTGAATTTTCCATTACAACTCCTTCGCTGAGAGCAATTGCTTGCCATATCACATGCTCCACGGTTACCCCCCTGCGGTGTACAATTAAAATCTCTTACCCTGACTTCAGCTTCTTGAGTGACAGGCTGAGCTGGAATCGGTATTCACAACCTTTACAGAGGGGCAGCAGCCTGATGTCTTTGTGGGTCACACATGTTGTCCCTAACCTCAAGTTTCCACACGGCGTCTAATGACAACTAGACTAAACTGGCCCCGTGCAAGTTTAAAAATAGCTGAAGAACATTCCTGGATGTCTTCACCTTGGTCACCAAACCATCTGAGATTTGTCCTTCGCGCTGCTGAAACCTGCGGCTGAATTTAGATTTGATCTGCTGCTTAACTGCCACAGAGATGCAGTTTTTCCTCAAGTAAGAACTTTGTAGCCCCCGCTGTTGTGTTGTTGTGTAATTGTGGCGGCACCGACCATGATGCTTTGCTGTCATAAGGGGGCTGAGGAGTGTAAACAAGGAAGGAATTGCTGGTGAGGTGATTCATAGTTTGTCAGTGTTGTTAGCGCTCAGGCTGACATAAAAGCAACCTTAACAGGAGAAAAGAAACTGACCTAATGCAGTTCACCCTGAGAAAGCTCTGTTTCGTCCTTGCTTTGTGCTGGGCCTGCTGTGCCTGCACAAAGAGATGTTCATTTTCTTCTTCTGTCCACTGAGCACCCATATGGAGCACAGAAATGTTCCACAGTCTGCGTGTAGCAAAGATACAGAGCTGATCAAGGATCTATTTAAAGGTGCAGAGTCACAAAAATGTAAGAAAAGGCACAAATAATAAGAAATTTTAGCCTGTTCTGGCTTAAACCTAACCTAGCTTATTAAACATCTGTCATCCAGACTTTCTTTGAAAGAGTGCTAACATCAGCAAGAAAATGGGTAGTTTGTTCCAGACAGGATCAGCTCTTTGTGTAAAAATGTACAAATTAAATTTTTTATCCTAAGAGCCTCTTCCCTTATTTTCACTTTTGCCCTTTAGTAATTGTTTCCCTTCATAGCTTTTCCGGGGTTTTGACCTGCTTAAATACTTGAATTCACTGTTCTCACACTTACCTCTGTTCAAGACCAAAGCCATTTTAACAATTACCGTAACAAACCTTTAACCAGATCTCACAAGCTAAGCAAGACTGAGCCTAGTATGTACTGGCTTGGGAGACCTGAGAAACTCAGGTTGCTGAGGGTACGGTAAGTAATTTTGCTGGACCAGTAGGTGGTCGTTTTCCCTCTGTACCAAATTTTCCTGACCAAACTAAAGTGATAGGAGATACTGAATTGTAAGAGCTGCCATCCTTTAAGCAATAAACAACCAAGGTACCGATTGGTTGGTCATTAAAGATACCATGGCAAGGTTTAGGAAAGTACAAATGTTAATCCTGGCATTCAGGTTAAATTCCATGTTGGAACAATCTGATCTACCTCATGGTTCCCCTTAAACCACCTGGTAAAGTAATTTCTTACTTCTCCATCTGATCTACTCTGTGGCACAGAATGGCGTCATGCCACCCCAGGTACTTTCTGTGGTGGTTGAATTGTATCCCCTGCTGGCTGTAAATCTATTTAACATCCTCTGGGATGGACTTCCATGCATCCATCCACTTTCTTACCTCTTCATCCAATGACGCACCAAAGCATATACATGCAAGGGATTGTCATTAAAATATGCTTTCCCTTGAATAGGGAAACAGAAAATCGTGATACCCTTTTCACATTTCACATACAGCACTGCACAACACCTAGCAGAATTTGCTTGTTCTATGGTTGAGGGAACTATGTCAAAATACATGCTTTCCGATAACCAATAGCATTTGGTAACCTTGTAAAGAACAGAATTAAATATTGGAACTGCACTCCTCATAGATTTAAGTGGAATGCTAAGGTATCATGATAAAGGATTAAGTCAATTTGTTAATTCTCTGTATGGAGCACTTGACTCACAATCTTGATTCTGTTCAAATATAACATTTCCATAATATTTATGATCTGTGATATAGTCCCAGTAGGCAGTTTTCTTAATATACATAAGTGATGCGTAATCCTTCAGTTTTTTCCTCTTGTGTGTGTTGATTGTCAGATCTTAGGATTTTAGTCAGTCCTCGGGGGAAATTCACAAATTATAGTGTCTTAGGAGTGAAAACACAGTCATTTAGAAGCTTGATGCATTTGAAAACAATTTGTTTTGAGCGTAACAGCCAGTGATTGTATCGTGGTGCTTCTTTGAAAGGAGTGTGCCAGCATATCCGCAATGACAGAACTTACTGATGATAATAGAACACCTCTGTTGTTCACATACAGCAGATGGAAAGACTTCAGTGATTAACCTTTTGTCACTCTTCAATTCACAACAAAAGCAGTAATAAACTCCAGAGCTATACATAATCCTGTGAGACTATAAAGACTGGCTAAAATGGCTAATATCTTGTAAATTTAAAAGTGTGTGAAAAATGCCAGCATAGCCAAAAAAAGTTTAGATGATGAAAAAGAAAGATAAATGATGAAGGATGAATACAAACACTGGTCAATACAATATTGAAAGAAATCCCAACAAAGTACTTTCCTGATCCTCCTCAAGCCATCATGAATTGTTATTTCAGGGCCCTATGGAATTTTCATAGCAGGCATTTCATTCATAACAATACATTGCACTCAAATATGTTTTGTTCGGTATTACTGCAAATAGTTATGTTCTTTAAGAGGCAGACAGCTCTGACAAATTCATAGCTGACACAATGTATTAGGGGTTGTCTGGTTGGGGTAACTCTTCTGAGAGAACAACAGTTCTTACTGTCCCC